TCAGAACTGCAGTCCAATCAGCAGCAACATGTATATAAAGCACGCGGTATTAAAGTGAACTCGCACAATGGGTTCAAGGAAAGTCATTTACAAATGTGTTCGACGCAGCTCGGTATACCCAACAACTGAGGATATTAGAAGACATGTTTGTCGTAAGTTTTATTGTAAAAATATAGGATATCAACATAATGATGTAGTTGTTTATATTTTTAGCTTCATTGCAAGTGTATGACATTTGGTATAGATGTAAACAATGGTAATTAAGTGCTTTTTCTAAAAATGAGAAAGAAAATACAGGGTATTAAAACTGTATGAACTACAAATAAAGTCAGTATGTGAGGCCAAATAGATGTGTTTTAGTCTGAATTAGGTCAGACACAAAGAATGGCCTTCTCAGCTGCCATAGTTGCAACTCTTGCGTCATCAGAACAGTGTGTTCAACGCATCACCGTTTCTGTTTAAAAAACGTTGTGCAACGTTTTGTCGGGGCTGGACGCAGCCCAGGTTAGCCAGGGAGCAAGAGTTACTATAGCTATGAACACTGCTAAAAGCCAAACCACTTTCATGGTTGCTAAAACACAGGGTTGGCACAAACTACACTGAAATACACCTGGCTAGCCTAAACCGGCTTCATGGAATAGGCCCCAGGTGATTTAGTTTACAGGATCGTAATGTAAAAGAATTTACTAATCTTATCTCTGACCAAAAATGGTAATTTGTTATTAAAATATTATTTTCCTCAACAATACTTTTGTGTCATAGATGAAATATTAATAATAATAAAAAATTCAAGGGGAAATTATAATTAGTCACACACACACACACACACACAGATATCAAGAATCAGCATATGAATCTTAACAATGGTGACATGCTTCATGCCACAATGCATTCTGGTAGCTACCATAGTATAAAACTCAAGGCTCCCAGCATGCATTGCTGATCAATGATGAGATCAGTGAATATTTTGCTGGGAATTTTGCTATGTAGATCAGTGGGAAAACCCTATACTGGACACTGGTCATTAATATAACACGAGTATTGTTGATTTCTAAAATGTTAAGCCGAATGACGCAGATGCAAATAAGGACTGTAATGACATCATAAAAAATCTCTCATGCTCAGATAACAGAAAATAGATTTTCATGATAACAACCCAGCTAACAGAATTTTGTTATAAGAACGTTCTCCAAATATTCAGTGTTGGTAAAAGGTATAATGTTTCTCAAACGTTCTTTCAACTTAATTTTCGATTAAAAATTCAACATTCAACATGATAGTAATGTTGATTTCCAACATTCCAAGAACATACAAATTAATGTTTCACAGCAAAAGTGTTAAATCCAGTGTTAAATGAACTCTCCTGAGAGTTTATTTGGCGCCAGACTCAAGAGTGTTAACCCCTGGGGTCGGCTATCGCGCGACGGGCTCACTATTTTTCTTATCAGTGCAAAAGAGACTCAAATTACTCTGTTGATTTTGATCTTACATATAAGTGTTGTACATCATTAGATCCTGTTAAGTGTCTATTTTTTGTGTGTGGATACTCACAATAAAAACAAAGTATTCTGCTTTTCGCCAAATAAATAAAAAAACATGATGCGAGTTCTGCGTTCTCTCTGTCAGTGAAGTTCATTCTGAAACGCGTCCGAAAATTAACTGTAACTAAGTACATAGTTGTCACACAGGCACGAAAGATTTTTCGTTATGAAACTGAAATTCTCTTCTTTTAAATGAAGTAATTTATATAAAAAATAACTATTCTCAGTTTATGTAATCTGTATGAAAAGAGAGAGATGTCAGTCTTTTTCCTTTCAGCTCATTATAGTTTATTAATGTGACCACGCCCACTGAGAGCGAGCACTATTCAAACGCAAACGTTGAGGCAAGCCATGAAAACGCCCACATCAGCTGGATAAAACATCCAAAAAGTTACCTCAGAAGTGCTGGTAGTTTCATTTCGAGGAGCGCGGATTCAGCTGATGAAGTAAGTTTATTCTTAAGTGCTTTGTTCTAATCGCGTTATTGAATAGTGTCTGTAAACTGCACAAAGACTGTTTAAATATGAATTGCGTGTTTGTGTGTGAATGAATGAATGGCACAGATGCGCGCGCAATGTTACTACAACATCTGTGCGTTCATTCACTCTCGCTCCTACATTAGTAAACGTTAATTTTACATGAACACATCCAAACTATATTGCTATAGCCAACTGAGATTTGCACGATAATCGCGCGATATAGAATAGTGTCTGTAATGACAACATGTCGTTGACTAGTTTTGGATAGATTATAAAGTTTTTACTCTAAAATAGACATCAAATAAGCTTTTGTTAGACAGTTTCTGCTCATATGTTAAATATATAGTATATTTTGTCAAAAATAAACTAATCAACTGTTATAGTGTTTGTTCCAATGCAAGCTAGGCTATATCAAAATAATGAATCCTTAACTTTGAAATATCTATGATAAAATGTATTGACCTACTTTAAAAAATAATACTTTATAAGAGATGTATGGAAAAAGAAACTTTGAACCAATTCTATAGAATGGCCCATATAACCTATTTGAACAGGATTTGTTTCCAGGTATGACTAAAAATGTGCTTTTGACTTTCATTTATATTTTGATTATTTATTTATTTATATATATATATATGTGTGTGTGTGTGTGTGTTTATGTATATATTAGGGCTGTCAGTTAAACGCGTTATTAACAGCATTAACGCAAACCCATTTTAACGGCGTTCATTTTTTTATCGCGCGATTAACGGTCTTTTTGGCCTAGCAAACTTTGTAGTTTTTTTTCACATGCTTTTGCAACAGGACGGCATGCGGGCCGCTGCGCTATGAAACCCATTCATTTCAATGGCTTGCGGCGCGCGAGGACGTTTTGAAAGCGCAAGCGGATCTAGCTAGACCGGAAACAAAACAACAAGCACGCCGCACACACTTGTTTGGGCTTGCGAGCCGGATGCGCGAGCGCGAATCTCTCTGCTCGCGCGCGGAATATAATGTGCCGAGCACGAATCTCTCTGCTCGAGTCGCGCGCTCTCAGATACACGCTGCTCTTGTAAGAATTTTCTCTGGGCTCACTCAGAGAATATGCCTGCACTTAAAACGTGTTCAGTGCAATCGCGAATCTCTCCTCTTCCCCAGCTAACAATTTTAGGTTATAAGAACGTTTTCATAACGTTCCCATTAAGTTATAAAAACGTTATTTCTGAATGTTATAGGAACGTTCAAAACGTCCAGTTTTGAGTGGATGACGAGCGTGAGACGCCGAAATGGATGCCAATAAGATTCTGAATGGAAAGTTTACTTTTAAAAAGTTGCCAAATGGTTCCATTGACAAGACCAAAGTGATCTGTGTGTTTTGTCGTTGTGAACTGAGCTATCATCATCGCAGCACGTCCAGTCTGAATACCACTTGATGATGGCCAGCACACACACACACACACACACACAGCTGATGCGAATTCTCCGCCCCCTCGTCAATATCAGGACCTCGTCAGTATTTATTTCACCCTTTTATTGATGGACAGTGTTATATTGTGTGAGAGATTATTTGCTCCAAGTGATAATGTTTTAGTGTGAAATTGAACAGTATATGCCAATATTGTTTTCAATAAAAAACATTTGCACAAAGCAAGCCGATCCACTTTTCCATGTTGATAAGAGCATTAAAATGAGAAAAAAATAATGGGACAAAAAGAAATCAAGAGACATTTAGAATAGATAAAAATGTGCGATTAAATGCGATTAATCGCGAGTTAACTATGACATTAATGTGATTAATCGCGATTAAATATTTTAATCGTTTGACAGCACTAGTATATATGTATATATATATTGTCCTTGCATTTTTTCTTGTGTGACACACCTGAATGAAAGGCTCATTATGCAGGTCTGTGTCTTCTCAGGTGAATCCCCTAATTATACATGAGGGGGTTGGGCCGTTCACGCCCATTCGCATATTGCCTTTCCAAACAAAAAAAATGTTTTCACAATTTATAACAATCTATTGTTTTATGTGAATGATTAGGCAGGATGATTTTCAGATCATTTTGAAGCAAAAACTCTAGGCCACAACATCCATTAGTCAAGTCTTGTGGACACATATTTAGTATGTGTTTTGTGGCCTTATTTCAGAAACTTTAATTTTTAGTTTTATCACAACCATGCATAAACAAAATTCTCTCAAAAATACAAACATGTACATGCATGTTGCTCACACATTATGGTAGCCCTGTGTGTGCTAAATAGAGTGTAATTTCACCTGTGCCATTAATATGTTTATAAGCAACTGAAAAAAGCACAAATGTCAGGGCATGTCAAAACATCTCAAGGACCCCAAAAACACCTTAGACCCCAGAGTTAACCCATGTGATAATGAGCTGATGAGTTGAATCAGGTGTGTTTGATTAGGGAGACAAAGAAAACATGCAGTGTTGGTGGTCCTCCAGGACTGCTCTGCTCTAACGTCAAGAAAACTGGACATTTTTCACATTCCCAGAACCGACACTGAATATTTGGAGAACGCTCTTATAACAAAATTCTGTTTGCTGAGAATGACTTTACATGCATTATTTTATGGAATCATTAGTATTTTTTCATACACATAATTTATGATGTATTATGGTGCGTTAATATATATCCCCCTGTTGTTTTCAGATCCTAAATTCATTTGTATTTCATTGATGTTTAGGCTAAAAGTTTTTCTTCACCTGTCGTTTACAAACAGGTTTAATGATGATCTTTGAATGGTGACCTCTGATAAAGATAAATTATAAATGCAGAAAGTGGGAAATTTCATACATTTTCCCTTGTGCCTTTTCAGCTGCATTTTGGACGGAAGCAAATACCTATGCAAATATTCTGTTGTGACCCATGTGTATTTAATATCTGAAAATGGAGATTTTAAAAAAACAAAAGTCCTTGTAGAGACCACAGCTCATCTGTGAACACATAGGCTACTGTAGTGTATGTTTGTGAGCAAATAATGAAATCAGGCAGGTATAATGTACATTCTGAAAACAGAGACACTGAAGGCACAACTGGTCCACAAACACAGTTACCCCAGGATGAAGGAAAAGCTCGAATGTGCAGTAAGTAAAATTCTTATTCTGATGTAGAGATGGAGTTGGTAATTGAGCAATAATGTTTGAGAAGCTGAAAACTGTTACTTAAAATTTAAATCAGTGCTTTTTAAGGAAAAATGTGTCAGTGTTTATGTACTTATATTAAATGCATTCATTTCCTATTTAATTTTTAAGTATATGTTCTTGTTTGCTTATTTTACCACCAATTCCAGATAATAACAATAACTTATTACACGGCTCTGTGAAATACTTGATTCTGATTGGTCAATAGCACCATTCAGCGGTAAATTATTCCCAGATAACAACTGCTGAAAACAGATAACCCAGGCTCATCCGGGTCACTGAAGTCAGCAATGCTATACGCTTGCTAGGAACGTTATTTCTTCTTGGAAGTTTTGCTTTTGGTGAGCTAATAAAATATTAAAACTCAGTCGAATCAATATTTTGTGTACAGTTATATAATTATGCCATCCAGTATCGTGGACTCGCTCTCTCTTGTTTCATACAAACACAGCTGCTGCCATTTTGTGACTATTGTTTTGTACACTGTTGGAATATACGATACAAACAGCAAACTAGCAATGTTAAATTAACACTCCTCAGTGTACATATGTGTCCACACTACAGGGTGTTAAAATTAACACTGAAGCAGTGTTACAGTTTATTAGATAATTAAGTGATTAATTAAGGGATGATTGGCCATTAGTGGTGTTAATAAGCAGAATCACTGAAGGAAAGAGAAACAACAAGACCAGAAAAAAGAGAAACATAAGAACTACAACTGACTTTGAGCCATCACACATTATTGCATTTAATATTAACCAGTTTGACTTTATTTCTGTCATACATCTACAAAGGTTCTTGAGATTCAACAGAAGTTTAGACGGTAATGTTTTATGGAATTTTTCATTTCAAGACACCAATATTGTGATTAGTGTTTTCTTTAGTTGGGCTCTTAACCCTTTTCATTTTTTAATGTTAGCATAGATTTTCTCTGATGGTTTTGACATTGTGTTTAAAAAGCACATTTGTTACTGTAAGAGAAAACATGATCTGCTCACAATATTTTTTGATGATGACATTATCTTCATGTAGTGACCTGAGTCACTGATGTTATTCAGAGTCTAAATCTTTGACTATATGCTTTATGTCTGATGTTAGCATTGGTGATTGTAGCCCTGAGATTGTACAGTTTGAGATCCAACAGCAATATGAACTATTTTTAAAATACTGTGTGCACAGAAGGTCTTGTGTTTATACCCACAGACATCAAGAATCAGCATTTGAATCTCAACAATGGTGACAATAAACAAACTAGTGACAAACAAATCAACTCTGACCATCACAAAACAAGCTACTAAAGTTATAACGAAACAATAGCAAAATAAAGCAAAAAGAAAAAAAACAATGAATATTACAGGACAATTCAGCTGCATAATTTATTCATGCTGCAATGCATGATGTGAGCAATGGATGTGTTTTGATTGGTGGCTCCCATCATGCACTGCAACATGAAGCATTTGTGTGATTGTCACCATTGTTGAGATTCATATGTAGATTCTTGATGTCTGTGTGTGATTTTTTTCTACTACTTTAAGATTATTAAATCATTACTGGAATTAGCTACTGTATTAAAAAAATATTAAAGCATTTGTATAATCAATTTATAATGATGGGTGAGATCAGTGAATCAGGACATTACAGGATTGTAATTTCATCATCGACACATAATTATCATGACCTGGGCTGTGCTTCCCATAAACATCTTAAGCCTAACTTGATCGTAGATCAATTGCAATAAATAGTCTGTATGATCAAAATAGGCTTACGATTCTTTCAGGGAATGCAGCCCAGGTCATAGTTTCTCTTGCTACAACAAATGTGCTTTATAAACACAGAGTTGAAGCAGCCAGAAAAAAACCTTTATTAAAAAGTAAAGGGTCAAGAGCCCAACTAAAGCAAACACCGATCACTATAATGGTGACTTGAAACGAAACATTCTATAGACCATTACCATCTAAACTTCTATTAAATCTAAATAAGACCTTGAGTAGATGTATGAATAAAGTCAAACTGGTAATAGTACGTGCAATAATGTGTAATGGCTCAAAGTCAGTAGTTCTTGTGTTTCTCTTTCATTCAATGATTCTGCTTATTAACATCAGGTATCTTCAATAATGCTCAATCATCACTTATTTAATCACCTAATTATCTCATGAACTTCAACACTGCTTCGGTGTTAATTTTTAACACCCTGTAGTGTGGACACATATGTACACCGAGGAGTGTTCATTTAACACTGGGATTTTGCTGTGTACCATTTAAAAACAGTTTAATCTGAAATCAATATATCTTATCCCCATAATTATTTATGTGGCAAAATTTTGTGTAATAAGTGGTATGAATGACTATCTCCTAAATGTCCGTTTAGTTTGAACTTGCTGCAGAAACTGCTCTCTGCGCGGAAGCTTTGCGTTTAAAGACCTAATAAAATATTTCAACTCAGATCAATATTTTGTGTCTAATTATTTACTTATGTGGCAAGTAGCCGTGTAATAAGCGGGATAATGTACATCCAGCCAGTGGTTCCCTTCAGGCTTTGCGTCGGGGTCCTCATCAGGGGGTTATTTTGGGAGAACCACCTGCTGGATGTACATTATCCCTTACTTACTGTACTCTCTTAAAGTCCTATATTATCAAAAGACAAAAACTTAAAAAGGTTGATTAAAGGGTGAATCATATGTGAATGGTTAATAGTTGATATCTGTGTGTTTGTCTCTGTTTGTCAGGAGGAAGCAGGTGTTTGGTGTTGATGACAGTGTGTCTCGGGCTCATTTGTGTTCTTCTGCTGGTCTTCATCACACTGCAGCACATCACCATCACAGCAGAGAGAGACCTGTTAAAGAGTTACAAGAACACAGTTGAAGAGTTCAATCACACTATCAACAGCTTACAGGACAATTACACTGATCTAATGATTGATAAAGACCAACTTCAGGACATCTTCAACTTTGTGATTCAGAAGAAACTAGAACTGGAAACCACAGTCAGTAATCTCACTGCTGAAAAAGGCCAGTTACAGGGAAATGTTGTCTCTTTGAATCAGACAAAACTGGAGTTAGAGACCAGAGTCAATGATCTTAGTGTTGAGAAAAGTCAGTTACAGGGAAGTTTTGATGCTTTGAATCAGAAGAAACTGGAGCTAGAAAGCAAAGTCACGTCTTTGAGTGAAGAACTAAACAAAAAATCATCTAAACGATGTTAGTACAAATCTCTTTTTGTCTAAGTATAACGTTATGTTATGAAACTCTAGATACTGCATGCTGATAAGTCCTTAACTCAAATTGTTGGCAATTACATCGTTATCTACAGAGCTCAGTTCATTGGTTGCTGTGGCATCAGCAGCCAATGAGCTTGCGGCTTAACACTTAGCATTGTTTACTGTTCGCAATATGCAGTGCTCTTTCAGAAACCCTCCACCCTCCCCAGCTCCACCTGTATAGATCTGTTCCAGGGCTTATTTCATGTGTATTATGTACAGCAGCAGCATGTCTTACATGCTCACAGCTGAATTTCTATGAATGTATTGGCAGTTTCAAGTCTCGTAGCAAATCTAGTCCGCCAAGACCAAATACATTAACATTGCCATATACATTACCATGCCAATCTCTATTACCATACCAATCTCTCACAGAGTTGTCATGACAGACGTACTTTCTTCATTGTCTTTTGTGTACACCATTTTAAAAAAGTGTGTATCTGTGTGGTCCAGTTTTTTTCCCCACATCCAGTGAGTTGAAGAGCTGGTCTGAGAGCAGGCAGTACTGTCAGGATCATGGTGGTGATCTGGCCATTATCAACACTGAAGCGAAGCAGGTGAGTTCAGTGGCAACCAGAATGTGTGAGTAAATTGTTTGAGCAGCTCAATATTTATTCCAGTGGAATTTGCCAGTTCAAATAGTTTGGACTGTAGAGTCAAATGTGTCATTTGGGTGGAGCTTGACCTTGTCCAGCTCCATCTCTGTAGATCTAAGGGGAGGGGCTTAGCCTAATTTAGATTTAGGGAGAGGGTTAGGGTGTGGTTGGACCTTATACCTCCACTGGTTAGGTCCAGAGAGGAGGAGCTGGATGTCAAGCTCCACCCAGAGGATCTGCAGACTCTCTTACAGGGGCGGCACTGGGGCAGGGCTTGCCGGGCTATCACTCCCCTCAGAAATCTGCATTGCACTGGCATAGATTGTGAACTAATGTTGTCAAAATTACAGACTTCGGTACCAAGTTGGTACTGAAACTTTAAAAATGTGACAATATCAGCATTTCCCTATAGAATCATATAGAATGAACTTGACAACACTATAGTGAACATTTTCTAACATGAAACAGGTCAAATTAAATTAGAATATAAATAAATCAGCATCAAATTAGCGAAATATATAAAGCATCTACATTCCAGAAAGATTAACAAAAAGATTAACAAATAAATAAATAAATTACTAATCAATAGCCTGTAGATTGTGTGTTTGTTTTACACCCAGTTCCCCGTAACCTGGTAAATTGTTCTGAGAATCGACATGGCTTTGTTTTCCTCTCCTGAATTTTTCCTCAACTTGTAACATTCTAAATTAATATTCAAAGACAATAAATACTAAAATAGCATTGTGTATGTAAAGCCTGCAAATCAACATTAGAGCGCCACCCCCAGGCTGAATCATGCAAGGACACTAGACCTCTGCCAAAAGTGTTCAGCATTTGTTCAGTCATTTGAATATAAAACTACTAGCAGTTAATCATAGGTTAGTCGTACAGCCTACGATACGAGCCAGAATCTGCCCCACTTACATTTATGGTCAGGAGCCGCTGCTGGTGCTAATTATGTTATTCCATGTAATGTTAAAGAAGAGAACGAGGAATAACACTTCTTTTGATTTTCTTTACACACAGAGGCACATATCTTCATTTGTAAAGGAGAGTGTGTGGATTGGATTGTCTGATATTGAGATTGAGGGCAACATGAAATGGGTGGATAATTCACCACTGAATCAAGGGTAAGTGATAAAACACTCACAGAAAATCACTGCGTTCAGTGAGCATTTGTTTGTAAATGCATCTTTAGGGCCCGAGCACTAATAGTGAGAGGACCCTATTGTTTTTGCTCCGTTTATTATTATTATTCTTTTTCTTCTCCAAAATGAATAGCTTTTTAGAGGGCCTAAACATGCTCGAAAACTCATGATACTTTGCATACGCTTCAGAAGTGGTAAAAATGTACGTGTGATGTGGGTTTCAGAATTGGGTGGGGCAAAATGGCTTAATCCCCCCCACACCACGCTTTATTGCCTCGGCTCTAGGTTTCACGTACAGGCATGAAATTCGGTACATACATGTAATGACCCAGACCCAATACCTACAAAAAAGTCTCTTGGATCATAGTCCTAAACAAGTCTGCCATTTTGAATTTCCCCTCTGATTTTTGTGCAGTTTTTGCCATTTTCAGGCTTCGTACTTTAACAAACTCCTCCTACAGTTTTGATATGATCCTCTTCAAATGTGTCCTGTCCTGTCCTGATGACCATGCTCATATTCAGTAATTCAGTAGTTATAGTAATAGCATCATCTGCTGGTAGCAGGAAGTGTGGCTAAAACAAATGACTTTAACATAGTCCTCCTATATTTACATTCTGCCCACTGTGCTCTGTTTTCCTAAAGCCGCCGTGTGTTGGTGGCATGGGTGCGAGGGCCCTTTTCATCGCTGCTTGCATTTTAGAGCTGTACAGGAACTGAATCTGATACATTTTTTTATTCAGGTTTTGGTCCAGCGGTGAGCCGAATAGCTTTCATGGCACAAATGAGGACTGTGTTGAACTGAATCCTGCAAGAGACCCTTTAAAGAACTGGAATGATCTGCCATGCTCAGAAATGAGGAAATGGGTTTGTGAGACTTAACATCGATTCCTTCATCTGCATGATATTTAATAAGGCTTTGACCCATATTTTTCAGCTTAATTTTTTTTTTTTTATTATTACATTTTTGGTGAAGGTTCATGTAATCAAAACTAATGTCTTAAAATAATTAAGATTTTGTGGTTTAATTTGTTGTGTTTATTTAGTCAATTTTATGTGTTTTTCTATATTAATGATTTATCATTTTATGTAGTCATTGTTAGGATCTACTTTCGTCATATGCAAACTGATGCTGTGCAGATTTAATTGTAGTGATTAATAGAAATCATGAGCGGAAGGGAAATGTAAAATTGTTGTTCACAACATTCATAGTCCTTCGGATGAGACGTTATAAACCGAGGTCCTGACTCTCTGTGGTCATTAGAAATCCCAGGATGTCTTTCAAAATAGTGTAACCCCGGCATCCTGGCCCAATTTGCCCCTTGGCCTCTGTCCATCATCGTGGCCTTCTAATAATCCCTATATACTGGTTGGCTTCATCACTGTCAACTCTCCACCAGTAAGCTGGTGTGTGTGCGTGTGTGTGTGGTGGGCGTTCTGGCGTCACATCATCCAGGTGGAGATTCCCCCCTTCCTTGTAAAGCGCTTTGAGTGCCGAGAAAAGCGCTATATAAATGTAATGAATTATTATTATTATTATAGTCTATTATTGTGATTTTGACAGTATATCTGTTTTTTTTTTTTTTTTTTGTTATTCTCTTTGAATAAAATGGTCAGTTGCCATTACATGTGTTTTCATAAGGTGCTTGTGTCAAATAAACTTCCAACTGCAGTTTGCAATGCACGACACAACACCTGTTTTTGAGCAACGGAAGGTGTCTATGTTCAGGAGAGGCTGAGAAGTTTCTTACAAGTGATGGAAATGAAGAACATGTATCCTAATTTTTATGCCTGCAGTACCAAGATTGAGTCCCATTATAAAATTAAAATTATGTTACTATATTGTTTGCAATTTTCTGTTGGGTCTTACTGAGTAACTGGTCAATTACAATGGACAGTTGTTTTACTTACTACAGATTCCCACCACCGTCCCTTTGAATAACTTTTCAAAACTTTTTTAGAAAAAGGCCTGCAGTGTGTTTCATTGGGGGATGTCTTGAGTTAATGTAAAATATGTTTTAGTAACATTAAGAAAGTTTTATGTATTTATTTATTTATTTATACATCCCATCATAGTGAAAATGGTAGAACAGTGACATCTACTGAGAAAAGGGAAAAGTGAATCTCCTGTTGTCACTCACTTGTGTTTAATAACAGGAAGTCCTCGTCCCACAATCTCTATTTCCCATCATCCTCTCTGTTCCTGAACACAACAGTGATGTAAATCATCATTCACTTCCAGTTTATGGTCATCAACACACAGGTCCAGTTCGGCCTGTTTTAGTGTGTTTGAGTCAGTTTATGTGATCACAGATTCCTCTTGTTGGACGTTGTAGATGCTAACTTCATCACAGGGAAAACTCCACAACGCTTTGACTATATGAGGTTGAAAATGCAATATATATTCCATCATAAAGTAGTATAAGCATACAGAGAGTTTTAGAGTGAGAATGAAATCTAGATGTATCTGTGTCTGAACTAATAAAAACCACTTCCTGGGTTGGTACTATTTAAAAACACGGCACACATCTTAAAGACCACACCTCATCTGTGAACACATATACTGTACTTTACTGTAAGACTGAGAAAATAATATAAACTTTTGTGTATACAGAAATATTAACTGATGTTTTATAACCATCACCAGGTAACCATCATCACTTAATCTGATTTCACTTTAGCTTTCTTTGCTGCTGTAAATGTGTTTGACTAACAAACCGTCATAGGAGTCAAAGAAGATAAAATATATATTAAGAGTTTAGAGCACAACTAATGGAAACACTAATCACTGTTATGGTGACTTCAAATGAAACAGAGTTAAACCTCTGTTAATTCTCAATAAAACTTCTGTAGATGTGTGACAGAAATAAAGTCAGTCTGATTAGTAATAAGTGAAGCTGGTAATGCTGTTTGTGGAGTTGTTTAATCCTCCTCTGCTGAGATCTTCAGAGATTTAATGTCTTCTTTTCTCTTCAGCTGATTTCATCTAAGGCTGTGTCTGAAATTACTTTATATTTAATATACACAGCTTTATGGCTCAGATAAGGTCCAGTTCTGGTTTATTTCTTTACTCTTGGCTGACATGTGGCATTGCTATGCAGAGGTGTAAAGTCCGGGTTCAGGAAGTAAAAGTCCTCCTCAGCATTTTGTTCCAGTCACCTGGATTTGCTAATTCAGACAGGAGACAGAACTTATTAGTAAAATCAGCTGACTGAGTTCATGGGTGGAATAAACATATGGCAGGACTTTTACTCTTTGACCCCTGGATTAGCCACCTCTGCTCTGCTGAGATCTTCAGAGATTTAATGTCTTCTTTTATTTCATCTAAGGCTGTAGCTGGAAGTCAGTTGTATGTTTGGAGAACGTTCTTATAAGATACATCTCCCCACTTGTGTTTAATAGTTATCTCTGTTTTTCCTACATCATCCTCTCACCCCAGCTTAAAAACATTATTCATTCCCTTCCAGTTTATTGCCATCATTACAGAGGTCAAGTTAGGCCTGTTTAAAGGTGTTTGAGTCTCTGCAGAGTTTCAGAGAGTTTCGTTGTGGGAATGAAAGTATTTTTCTCTGTGTCTGAACTAATAAAGCCACTTCCCGTTTAGTGTTAGCACTATTTAAAAGAAACCATGACTATCATTCAAGCTCATCTGTGAACACTTGCTGTCAGACATAAGAGTGAATTATGGACTTAGAGGACATTTATGAAAATGTTGAAAATGATTATATTAAGGACACAACTGGAGCTCGAACACAGAATCACAGCCAGGATGAAGGGAAAGATGGAAAGTGCAGTAAGTAAAGTTTCATTTGAAGAAGAAATGGGGTTGTTAACTTTTGAGGAAATGAGAAACGTAACTTATAAATTCAATCTTTTTTCAAAGAACAATGTGTTCATGTTTCTGCATTTTATGGTATGTATTAACAAGAAGTTATTTTATTTAACTTTTCAATATATGTTCTTATTTGCATATTTTAATGTAGATATTTTGCTATCATTATCACAGAATAAACGTTAAAAGGCATGTGTATTATCTAAATATAGAATTGGATTATTTTAAACCTACACTGTAAAAAAAATGCTGTAAAAAAAGGACAACATGTATTATAGTAACACTAATCACTGTTATGGTGACTTCAAATGAAACACATTAGAGTTTAACTTCTGTTAATTCTCAATAATAACTTCTATAGACGTCTGACAGAAATAAAGTCAGTCTGGTTAGTAATAAGTGAAGCTGGTAATGCTGTTTGTGGAGTTGTTTAATCCTCCTCTGCTGAGATCTTCAGATTTAATGTCTTCTTTTCTCTTCAGGTGATTTCATCTAAGACTGTGACTGAAGTCAGTTGTAGTTCTTGTGTTTCTGCTCATCTCTTTTTCTGTTCTCTTCTTTCCTTCAGTGATTCTGCTTGTTAACAGGATTATTAAGGCTGAAATGACTATTAGTAGACTACTAAATGATATTTAATATACACATATTTTGTGGCTCAGATAAGGTCCAGTTCTGGTTTATTTCTTTACTCTTGGCTGGCATGTGGCATTGCTATGTAGAGGTGTAAAGTCCAGGTTCAGAAAGTAAAAGTCCTCCTCAGTATTTTGTTCCAATCACCTGGATTTGCTAATTAACAGTTTTTCAGTCAGGAGACAGAAATCAGCTGAAATCAACTGTCAATCAGTTCATGGCTGGAATAAACATAGCAGGACTTCTACTTGCTGACCCCTGGACTATACACCTCTGTTTAAAACGGAAGATTTTGCAGTGGGGTTAAAATAGTTAAATGTGTAAAAAAAAAAAAAAAAAAAAAAAAACAGTCGAGCGTATTTTAACAGTAATCAACAGTAAATTAATTTACGTCATAAAACTGTAGATAAACAGCAATTTACTTGCAACCCAGCTGGCAGTAGATTACCGTAAAATCAAGGAAACCAGTAATATACTGTAAAATGTAACAGTCAGATTTATTAAACAAAATAAGTTAATTTCACTGAAGAAAAAGAAACACTGATGTTACACTACCTGTTGCTTTATTTAACAGACAGTAACTGTGTAGTTGCTGATGCAGTGACAATCTCCTTGCTTAGTATATTAGCACATACATGTCTGCTATTGTTCGCTATACGAACTGCAAAGACTTTAGTAAAAATCATGTTTTTAATAATTCACTATTACACATAAGGTGTTTGCAGTTTTAAATGAAGAGATATTGTGGACTCAAGTTAAGTTTACAGTACTATCAGAATAAATACTATTTTTTGAACTCGAACTGTGTAAAGCAATCGGTTTCCCAAATTATATGAGTTACCTTCCATGGTATTTTTACGGTAACTGTAAAAAGGAGAGCTGTAAATTAACAGTACATTGCTGGCAACCACAGCTGCCAGTAGTGTGACGATGTTCGGCTGGATTGCCCTAGAGTGTCACTAGAGGGCGCTCCACCCCTGCACTGCCTTCCCTGGGACTGATTTCGCACACACCTGTTTCCACTGATCACTCTCACACCTGCATCGAGTTTCTCACGCAGCTCCACACTCATTTATACCCCACTCTCACTATCACTAATTGCTAAGTCTTGTTTTTACTGTTGTGGACATCACCAAGCTTTTCCGAGTCTAGTCTAGTCTAGTCCTGTCTGTGTCTGACCCATCGCCTGTTTCCTGGATTCCGTTTCGTCTGCCTCTGTCTTCCCGCCTGGTTATCGGACTCTGAGTATTGCCTTGTTGTGTCTGCTGTCTGTGACCATAGCCTGTCTGACTACCCTGTAAATGAACTCACGCTGCGCTTGGACCTGTCTCTGGTTGTTCATGACAAGTAGATTACTGTAATTTTACAGCACACATTTTAACTGATATGTGTGTGCTTTTGTCTCTGTTTGTCAGGAGGAAGCAGGTGTTTGTTGTTGATGACAGTGTGTCTCGGGCTCATTTGTGTTCTTCTGCTGGTCTTCATCACACTGTACATCACCATCACAGCAGAGAGAGACCTGTTAAAGAGTTACAAGAACACAGTTGAAGAGTTCAATCACACTATCAACAGCTTACAGGACAATTACACTGATCTAATGACTGAAAAAGACCAACTGAAGAACAACTTCAACTCTTTGAATCAGAAGAAACAGGAGCTGGAGACCAGAGTCAATGATCTCACTGCTGAGAAAAGTCAGTTACAGGGAAGTTTTGATGCTTTGAATCAGACGAAACTGGAGTTAGAGACTGAACTAAGGAAGTTATCTAAACGAGGTCAGTACAATTACAGGTGCTGGTCATATAATTAGAATATCATCAAAAAGTTGATTTATTTCAGCAATTACATTCAAAAAGTGAAATTCATTCATTCATTACACACAGACTGATATATTTCAAGTGTTCATTCCTTTTAATTTTGATGATTATAACTGACAACTAATGAAAACCCCAAAATTAGTATCTCAGAAAATTAGAATATTGTGAAAAGGTTCAATATTGAAGACACCTGGTGCCACACTCTAATCAGCTCAAAACACCTGCAAAGGCCTTTAAATGGTCTCTCAGGCCCTGTCCACACGGACACGGGTATTTTTATAACCGTGACTTTTTTTACGCGGTTCGGCCGTTCGTCCACACGGAAACGCACTGAAACCGAACATTTTTGAAAACCCCTGCCAGGGTGAGGATTTTCAGAAACGCCGGTTACAGTGTTGTCGTGTAGACAGTGAAACCGGGGTTTTTGCCTTGCGACGTCAGAGTGTGCGCCGTTATCCGCTGTGTTTGACATCAGATTTGCGCTTCTGATTGGCCAACGTGGCTTTACGGTTAAGGTTTATATCGCCGCCTGCTGGCGTGGCATGCTCTTGACCGCGCTTGATAGCGTGTTTTTGCGTTTTCATGTAGACGGAGACCGAGCATGTGTGGACGGGATTTTTTTTAAAATGCTGTAGGAAAAACTCCGGTTATAAAAATACCCGTGTCCGTGTGGACAAGGCCTCAGTCTAGTTCTGTAGGCTACACAATCATGGGGAAGACTGCTGACTTGACAGCTGTCCAAAAGATGACCATTGACATCTTGCACAAGGAGGGCAAGACACAAAAGGTCATTGCTAAAGAGGCTGGCTGTTCACAGAGCTCTGTGTCCAAGCACATTAATAGAGAGGTGAAGGGAAGGAAAAGATGTGGTAGAAAAAAGTGTACAAGCAAAGACAAAAAGGACTGGACTGCTGCTGAGTGGTCCAAAGTTATCTTCTCTGATGAAAGTAAATATTCCTTTGGAAATCAAGGTCCCAGTGTCTGGAGGAAGAGAGGAGAGGCACAGAATCCATGTTGCTTGAAGTCCAGTGTAAAGTTTCCACAGTCAGTGATGGTTTGGGGTGCCATGTCATCTGCTGGTGTTGCTCCACTGTGTTTTCTGAGGTCAATATTGCAGAAGAGCTGAAGGCCACTATCAGAGCAACCGGGGCTCTCATAACACCTGAGCAGTGCCACAGACTGATCGACTCCACGCCGCATTGCTGCAGGCATTCAGGCAAAAGGAGCCCCAAGTCCCCAACTAAGTATTGAGTGCTGTACATGCTCATACTTTTCATGTTCATACTTTTCAGTTGGCCAACATTTCTAAAAATCCTTTTTTTTGTATTGATCTTAAGTAACATTCTAATTTTCGGAGATACTGAATTTGGGATTTTCATTAGTTGTCAGTTTTAATCATCACAATTAAATGAAATAAACATTTGAAATATATCAGTCTGTGTGTAATGAATGAATATAATATCCAAGTTTCACTTTTTGAATGGAATTACTTTAAATTAAATTAATAAATACAATTGTTTATGTTTATTGAAAGGAAATGGCAGGTTCTTCATATCCAGTGAGTTGAAGAGCTGGTCTGAGAGCAGGCATTACTGCAGAGATCGAGGAGCTGATCTGGTCATTATCAACACTGAAGAGAAGCAGGTGAGATTGGAGACAAATAGTTACAGTAATTCTGTTGTGAGTGAACATACTTAAATATATTGTGTCATACGTACAAAACAACCAACCGTAATTTAAAACTCACACAAGAGTCTCATGTTTTAACACTGCTTGGAAAATAAATGCTACAATGATATAACAAACCTCTTTCATATTTCATTTGTTCTTGCTTTTGAATATTAATTTTTAATGCTGGTAATTGTCTTTGTCTTCTGTCCTTCAAATAATACCAGATGAAGATCTAAAATGTAATTTTGATTCTCACTCTTTAATTGATTTATTCACACAGAGGTTCATATCTTCATTTATCAAGGAGAGAGTGTGGATTGGTTTGTCTGACATTGAGAACGAGGGCAACATGAAATGGGTGGATAATTCACCACTGAAACAAGGGTAAGTTTTGTGTACAGTTATTTAATATTGCCATCCAGTACCGTGGACTCGCTCTTGTATCATACAAACGCAGCTGCTGCCATTTTGTGACTATTGTTTTGTACACTATTGGATAATGAGATACAAACAGGTACAATTTTAAAACGGTTTAATCTGAAATCAATATCTCTTATCTCCATAAATGTTTATGTGGAGAAATGCTGTGTAATAAGTGGTATGACTGTATACCGCATCTCTTAAATGTCTGCAGAAACTGCTCTCTCCGTGGAAGCTTTGTGTTTAAAGACCTAATATGTCTAATTATTTACTTATGTGGCAAGTTGCCGTGTAATAAGCGGGATAATGTACATCCAACTGGTTGTTATCTCAGAATAAACCGCTTCAGGCAAGACCTTTGATCCTCATCATCCTGTCTGGGTTTATTCTGAGATAACAACCAGCTGGATGTACATTATCCCTTACGTATCAGATAATCACTATCAGACAATTACTTAGTATCTTTTGCATTTGTTTTTAAAAGCATATTTATTTGTATAGCATGAGTGAGTACATGCTTTTAGAGCTGTTCAGGAACTGAATTTGATTGTATTTCATTCAGGTTTTGGGAAAGTAATGAGCCGAATAACGCGAATGGAAATGAGGATTGTATTGAACTGAATCCTGCTAAACCCGTCCTGAACAACTGGAATGACATCCCATGCTCAGCAGTGAGAAAATGGATTTGTGAAAATTAACATGAATTCCTTCATCTTCATGATAGCTTGGACTCATATCTTTTAGCTTCATTAGATCATTAGTCAGCATGTTTGATAGTTGCTGTCAGTGTTTCATAAAATAACTAACTTTAGAATTATTTTTTTAATTTATCTTTTTATGTAATTTTCAAAACAAAGATAATCTATTAAGATATATTTGTTAGAAGACAAGTGTACGTTTTTTTTTTTTACTGCAATAATAAATAACTAACAACATCCTGTTTTTTTTTAATTTTTCTGAAATGCTAGCCAATCGCAGTAAATGACAAGTTTCCTGATTCACACGATTACTCTGATACTGAAAGACTGTAAAACTGTTTTCAGTTGAGTTGGTTCCCTTGAAATTAAATGGTTGCTTTTACATTATTACCATTGTAAACACAACATTATTGTTTTTCTTTCATATTTCATTCTTGTGTCTCTGATTTGCTTCACTATAAAGAGATTTCCTCCAGCCCAGTAGGGGGCAGCAGAGAGCAGGTTTATCAGCGTTTCTGGGTCTCAGTGAGGATCTGCAGGCTATATGGACCCTTTTCATGTTTCTAGGGTTCTTAGAAGTAAAAGTCATAGTAAACTTCTATAGCGGTGAATAGGAGAAGACAGCAAATATAATTTTGTTTTTTCCATTTGCTCCAATAGAAAAAAAAACCTAAATTCGTGATAGTGTTTCCATGACTTTACAAAAGAGAGAAAAGATATTAGAGACTGATTACAGCAGTCAGAAGAGGGAAAGATTTGCCATCACAGAAACGCGCTTCCATGAGCGTTGATTAGTGTTGTTTGTCATTTACTGCCAAGGTAATATAACACAAAGTATTGCATTATAAATGCACTGTAAAATCTAATTAGTTAGTCTTACTTTAAAAAGTATGCAAACCGATTGCCTTAAAAACATTATGTAAAGTGAAATACACTGTTAACCCTTGCTGTAAAAAAATGTCAAATTCTGACAGTATCGTACCATTTTCCATTAAAACAGTAATCCAACGTAGAAAACAATGCATTCTGGGTTATATTTGTCGTTTTCGAGAAAGTAGCCTACAGGAATATACTGTGAATTAACATCGCTCAAAGTCGACTCTCAGTGGCTGTGTTCAAAATCACACCCTATACCCTCATTCACTATTCCCTACATTAGTTCTCTAATATAGTCCACTTGAATGAAAAGAAGAGAGTGAATTCAGACACTGGCCCTGTCCCAAATGGCGCACTTCATGTGGATTTTCGGTATTCAATTCAATTCAATTCAAATTTATTTGTATAGCGCTTTTCACAATACATATTGTTTCAAAGCAGCTTTACAGAAAGTGCATTTCAGAAATGTACATAGAAGAATATAGTTAGTTAATCATCATGTATTAATTTAGGGCATAACATATCGCAGGCGTCGAGTCGTCTCTTCACAGGCGTCGAGTCGTCTCATCGCAGGCGTTGGGGCATCAGAAGTCTCCGTGAGAGGCTGGATACAAACTGGAGCTGACGAACGCTATTTACCTCGGGACTAGCGTCCCGAGATAACAGCAGAAAAGCAGATGGGAAATAATTAGCGTAGCTTCTGTTCATAATATTAATGCATTCGATCTGATTCAACAGTGGTATACAAGGTAAGCATAATGTGAATGCTTGGCTGAAGAGATGCGTCTTTAATCTAGTTTTGAACTGGGAGAGCGAGTCTGAGCAACGAACAGTATCAGGAAGGCTATTCCAGAGTTTAGGAGCTAAATGTGAGAACGCCCTCCCTCCTTTAGTGGACTTAGATATCCTAGGAATGACCAGAAGCCTCGAATTTAGTGATCTTAAAGAACGCGATGGATTGTAGGGCGATAGAAGGTCCATTAAATACACAGGAGCTAAACCATTTAGGGTTTTATAGGTCAGTAGTAGTACTTTGTAA